AACATATTAAAGATTATTCTAAAAAAAAAAAGTTGGCTGAGACTTCTTTATGGTGGTAGCTTTCACAGCTTCGAGTAAAGGTGAGTTTGTGCCAACGTTTTTCAAATAAATATCTAATAACTAATCTTGACCTGAATGTAATAAGAATACTATCTTTAGTTAAAATAATTTCATCTCTTTATGAAGAAAATATAATGATTTCGAAAAGCCAGACCCTAGGGTGAACCGGTGCGAAATTTCCAGAACATACATTTATTATTTTAGTTATCCTGGCAAAAAGACATATCTTGATTCTGACTGTTTTTATTTTAATAAAATTGAATAAATTAACATGAAATAAATGAATAAAGTTTTGTAATTTTCTAAAACATACTTATACATAAATTTATTATAAACATATATTTGATACTTTATTTTAAATATACTGATGAATATATCTCTTCGATAAAAATATACTTATATTAAAACTTACCTGAAGAAATATATAACTTTAACAAAAAAATTAGGGTAGATTAGGGTAATATGAGCACCTTGGTAATATGAGCATACTTAAAGATTTATTAGATTTTAATAAGCAGTGAAATTAAAGTTGCTTTATGTTTTTCGAATCGACTTTATGTGGTAATAACAGGAATCAGTGCAATTAGCGTAAATTTATACGCAGTAATTAGCGGATATCATCTAATTAAAACGCTTTTAAATTTTTTGCTTTGTTAAAAAAAATTATCACGCGTGAATAATTCTGTGGCGCGATATTTTGGTGCTAAAATAATGAAATTAATTTTTTCATAAAGAAAAATATATTAGCTAAAAATCCAATTCATTTTTGTTTAAAAATAATGCATAGAAACATTTATTTTTGACTTTATTTAAAGATACCATTTTTGTGTAATATGAGCATGCTCAAATTACCCAGTGCTTTTCATTGAAATTGCTCCTAAAATAGCAGTGGTTTTTAATTGCTTCTTGAATAAAAACAAAACATGGTAAAAAATTTTAATATATTAGCAATACTAAATATTTTTCTGTAACTTAAGTCTAAAAATTTTTAATTTTTATTGTTCAAAGGTTTGAGTTAACAAAATTGAAAAAACAATGTATTAATTTTTTTTTTTTTTTGGCGGAAAACATAGTAGTATTGTTTCAACAAAATGTAGCTTAAAATTTGATCTTTTAATGATATGTTTTGTTAATCACAAATCCTTATATTCCAACAATTAGTTCTATTAAGCAGGTTGGTCTTTTTTTATTTAATTAATGCTATTTTTTTGAGCTAATTTAAAGTGCTCATATTACCTACGGGTCAGGGTAATTTTTAAACACTTTTGCTACTTTTTTAACACTTAACACTTTTGCTAAACTAACACGTAACACTTTTGATACTTTTTTAAAACCTCTGTGTTTTTAAGAAAAAATGTCAAGTGCCCAAATATCTAAATAGATTATGAATAGGGATCCCTAAAAATTGTTTATTTGCAAAAATTTTGGATCCAGCATATTTATTTTTGAAAATTTTCCAATTTTTGCTTAAGGTGCTCATATTACCCTAGTCTACCCTATACGGTTTTAAAATGGAGGAAAATTTTTTAGTTGACTTTCCAAACGAAAGTTACATTTTAATAACTAAAATTTAAACAGTCAATTAAAATCACAACTATAAAATGGATTATTAACAATGAGTAGTGCTAAATCACCAGTGATGAGCGCATAGGTTACATAAAGCCATAAAATTTAATTTATAATTTTTCTTAGAGGGTTAAACCGAAGCCTTTAAAACTATTATCATTTAAAAGTTATTTTAATCAGAAATACAACAAATCATCTCAAAAAGAAATTTTTTGTTTAACTTAATACAACTTTTTTGAGTGAACGAGTTTGTAATTTTTTGAGTGAACGAGTTTGTGATTGAATAAGTGTGTTAGTTAGTCTGTTAGTGGAAATATGTCTCTTAGTGAGTACCTAGACGTTCAACGTTTTGACTAGGTACTCACAAACAGAAAACAAAATTTCCTCTAATATTTCGTGTCAGGGGCGAGTTCCACTGAATCTCAAAGTTTGTTTTCTAATATTTTACAAATATAATTCATTTGTATCAGATCTTCACAATTTTTTCTTTTTTCCAGTGTTTCGATCAATTCTAGTAATTCGCTCTGTATACTATAGTTTTTTATACAGTGTGCAACTTCCTTAGTTCTTCTTTAAACTCATTCAACTTTAGTCATATGTCTTTCAAGGTGAATTCTTTTTGCAAGAATTGAATTCTTTTTGCAAGCTTTCAAATGAATTCTTTTTGCAAGCTTAGCACACTCTAAATGCAGTCGGGTATAAATAGTATACAAGCTATTTCATATATTCTCGTTTTTTGATTGAAATGTTTGCTTCAAAAGTCTAAGTATACTATTCGCTTTTGCTACTATAACATTTTTATGTGCATGAACTTTAAATATTTTTGGATATATTAACTCCCCTATCCCTTATTGTTTCGGCTTTTATAACTTTGAAAGTAAACCAATTTATGTCTGTGGTTTATCGGATGGACTATTTTTATCTACATGTATTGCCACACACTTATCAATATTTAGTTCTATAAACCATGCGTCACACCTGAAATTTTGTTCTTTCTTGAAGTTCTAGAAGATCTTTTGAATGTGGTTTCGGTTTTATAGATTTTATTAATTTAGTATCATAAGCATAAATGAAACATCAATCTTTAAGTTTTCTTGGTATATTTTTGTATAAGACATATAACACCGTTTTGAGAACAGATAATGATAGAACAAGATAAATAATACCGTTTTGAGGTACACCACTTGCCACATTTTCCCAATCCAAAATATAACAATTATTGCTGCCGTTGTACCAGTTTTTCCGTAGGTGACCTTAATGAAAATTTTAGCTTTAACTAGTTTAGCTCTCCTACGTAAAAGCCGGAACAATGACAGCCATAATCATAATCCATAACTATCTTTTGCTTCCTATTTGTTAAAAAAGCCTTAATTCAATTTATAATTTAACTATTTAATCCATAACTTGATAACTTAATTAATCCATATCTTAATAACATTACCCGTCAAAATGGCACTTTATCAAAAGCTTTAGAGATGTCAAAATATATCAACACTGCTTTTATTAACTATTTATTTTGTTAAAAAAGCCGCGCGATTGAGTAGATTATTTGTTCAAGACTTCCTTGGAATAAATCAATGCTGCTCCTTTATGATTAAGTTAAACTGTTACACGAATGTTGATGTTTTGCCTTGTAAGATATTTCATGACATTGCGCATGAACCTAATGTTACTAAAATCTGGCATTTGCTTTAGTGAAATGTTTACAAAATATTCGGTTTTTATCGATGCATTTCAATTTTGAAAACTAAAAGGTTTACATGTTAAGCTAAGAATGGGCCTGAGCACTTCAACCACAGTTTACTAACGAGAAAAACATAAAAATCATTTTTACTACATTTTTTTTTTTAACTACATAGATTTTTCTGTTTTCTGCATAGTTTTTTGAACTACATAGTTTTTCATACCACATAGTTTTATTTTTTTGAAAAGTGATCATTTGTTCCAAGTTATTTTACGCAAGTTTACTTGTTTCTAGAAACAAGTAAACTTGCGTAAAATAACTCGGAACAAATGATCACTTTTCAAAAAAATAACATAGAATTCTGTGTTATATGCGTTAAACCAAAATATATTGTTATAAAAAAGGCAGGAAATTTATTTTAAAAAAATCTAAAAATTCTCACATTTTTATAATCTCTCCAGTATTCATTTTGTTAACCCTAACTCTGAAGGATATTTAACTTTTTATTTTACAATATGGTTAATCAAAATCAAAATCTTCAAATCAAAAGTTTCAAAATCTTCTTCAAATATATATTGGTAGGATGTAAAATACGTAGGGAATTATTATTATAAAAAATCGTCTTTTGAACGTTTTGGACATTCGTTTCTATCAATGAGACTAAAATTGGACATTCATTCCATCAATGAGACTAAATCTTACTAAAATGAAGTTTTTCCGATTAAATAAAAAATATTATGTCTAATCTGAAAATTTTTTAGAAGTTCTTCAGAAACTTTTGTATTTAAAACTTCTTATAACAATTCTTAAACATTTTTAAAAAATTGTGTTTAAAAGAATACACTGCGCGGGGAATAAACTGCGTTAGGAACATTAAAAGAATACACTGCATAAGGGACAAACTGCAAAAGGGACAAACTGCGGAATTTTGTTAATTTAAGTGTAAAGTTTTATTGCAGTCAACCAATTGGGGTGAGGGGTGAGGGGTGAGACTTGAAACTAAACTTATTTTATTTATAACCGTCCAATACACATAATTATACTAATAAATAATTTAATTAAAAGGTAATCCGGTATTTATTTGCCACGACGCCATTTTAAATCAGCGCACGTCTTACATCATCACATGATGCATCATCATGATGAATCATGAACCATTAAAACTCTAGAACTTTAGCTTCGTTGTTTTCGTACATTGATATTTCTTTTACAATGAATTTTTTTTTTACGTTTATGCCTAATAGAATTCAACTTTAAGTGAACTCGAAGTGTTGTAATTAAATTTTATGTAAGAGTACATTTATAAATTATTGTTAAGCGCTCGTAAACGAGCCGACATTTTGATAGGAGTAATGTTTCTTTCAATTCATGCCATGTTATTATTTAGTAGAAAAAACTGCTAAGAATTCATCTAGTTTCCCGCTGAGTTCAAATTAATAATATATTTGTGGATTATATTTGTGTTTTAACTAAGCTAAATTCAATTTGTTGCATTGTCTTTGTCTTTGCAAACAATGTCTTCTAAAATATCGTAAAAAATATTACACAGGAATCTAAAACATAGTACGCAATCTAAACATTTTTTTTTAATATAAATATTATCCTCAAACAAATTTTAAAAATAAATTAGTCAAATTTATATTTTTTTTATTTTATAAGAATTTGTTAAAAACAATTATATTTTTTAGTGTTAATAATTTAAATTTCGAAAAAAAAAAGTTTAATAAAATGGAGCTAGAAGAACTAATGTCAAACCGAGCACTTCTAGAAAAAATGACTGAAGCCAATATGCATACAAATAATTTTAAGATACCACCAAAAAACCAAGTTGTTACACAAAATAGCATAAAACCCAAAGAGATGTGTATTAGTTACAAAAAATCAAACGTGTTTACTGTTGCCACAAAGGAACCAAAGTGTGAAGAGCTAGAAGTCGAAAAAGGTAACGCTTGTAAATTACCAACAAAATTAAAAAGGTTATTTCAAATCATGTGGATATTGATTCTTTTATGCTACATATTTGGGATGCCAGTTATATTATATGGAATATATAAAAAATTAGTAGAAACTAAAATTAAAATTACAGTTCTGGAAAATAATTTGGGTGCTAGTTTTAAAAACAAACATATAAATGACGTGCTAAAAAACAAACAAATAAAGGATGCGCTAAAAGATCCAAAACAAGGTGAACAAGAAAAAGAAGACTTATCGAATAGTTATTTTGTTAATAATATTGAAAAAGATTATAACTACCCAAGTGGAATGGAAAAACGTCTTATTTTACTCACAAACAATGTTGGAAAAACGATGGAGGTATACATGCAAAGGTTAGTTTATAATAATATTTTGGTATTAACACTTTATTTCAGGAAAAGGTTTTTAGTTGTTACTAAAGCAAACGTTTCAAAAAAAGGTAAATGTGTAAAAAAATAAAATTAAAAAAAAGATAGATTTTTATTCTATATATTTATTAATAACCTATTATTTTACATAGCGATGTATGTTATATATATATATATATATATATATATATATATATATATATATATATATATATATATATATATATATATATATATATATATATATATATATATATATATATATATATGTATATATATATATATATATATATATATATATATATATATATATATATATATATATATATATATATATATATATATATATATATAGTTTGTTAATATCCAAGACTCTTCTTTGCATTTATTAATGAATGTAACATGTGGTGTCCCACAGGGATCCATAGTTGGGCCCCTACTATTTTTTAAAAACGAAACAAACTATACTACTGCAGCAAACACTTCAGGAGTCTGGAGTCATAGCATGCCATGACATTTCGTTGACACAGGAAGAATTTCCTCGACAAGTGCCATTTTGCAGTGGACAAAACAAGTGCAACTTTTTTAGTTTGTTTCATTTTCTTAAGTCTGGTCCGAATCAACGTCGCGGAAGTATGCAGAGGTTTCCAGATGTTTCCAGAAGAAGCATCTGGAATTTTATTCTGGATTCTTCTGGAAGTATCCAGAAAAATCCAGAAACTTTCAGAAGCATCCAGGCGCATCCAGAAGCTTCCAGAAGCATCGAAAAGAAGCATCTAGAATTTTCCAGAACAGGTTCACACAGGTTCATTTTACTATATAAGAGACATGTAAATCGACATGTAATTCAGTCAGTATATGGAAGTCAATCAGTCAGTATTATCAAGACAGTTTATCGAAGTGAGTTTTATCAAAGTGTTTTATCGAAGAACATCAATACAAGAAGTGAAATATAACAAGTGTTTCATTACACCAATACAGTCCACATCCAACCAAGACGTGTTTCACAGAGCATTATTGTATCATCACAAGGTAAGTGTAATACGGTAAACCTTGAGAAGCGTGATTATTTATTTTTATTATTTTTATGACTTCAAGTGCAAAAAGGCTCCCGATAGTCTTGGATTGGAACTAAGAAAGAAAATTATTGGCGATTACGTAAGTGGAATGTCACAAAAAAGTATTTGTGATAAATATCGCGTGAAAAAATGGACCGTATCAAGACTATGTTCCAAATATCGTTCTACGGGGAAGTTGGCTGCAGATAACTCTCTAAAAGTGGTGGAAGACCGCGTTCCACCACTTTCAGAGAGAATTCTATGATCGTCAGATCCGTCAGGAAGGATCCCTGGATATCATCAGTCGAGATACAAAAGCAATTAGAGCTGCCTGTATCGGACCGAACAATCAGACGACGCGCTGTTGAAGCCGGATTGTTTTCTCGACGCCCTGCAAAGAAACCGCTAATTTCACTAAAGAACCAGAAAAAAAGACTTCTGTTTGCTACATCTTACATCGACTGGAGTGTGCAGGAATAGCGAAATGTTATATTTAGCGATGAATCGTAGTTCAACATCATTGTTAGCGATTTGATGAATCGAAGTTCATCATCATTAGAAGCATTGAGACCCGAAAACGCCTCGATTTACGTTACTGCCATAAGACCGTGAAGCATGGCGGAGGCAATGTAATGGTCTGGGGGTGTTTTTCTGCTAACGGTCTAGGTCCAATTCATCGAATCGATGGAATAATGGATCGTTTCATGTATAAAAATGTCCTGAAAGATGTTATGTTACCTCATGCTGAATGGAATATACCAATAAAATGGGTTTTTCAGCAAGAAAACGATCCGAAACACTGCAAAAGTAGTCACAGTGGTTTTAAGACCACCACCTATCGGTGATGGATTGGCAGCCTCAATCTCCGGATCTCAACCCTATCGAGAAACTGTGAGAGATCGTCAACCGAAGAATTAATCGTGAAGGTGTTCGTAATTAGGATCAACTGTTTGAACAAATCCAAAGAGCCTGGGCAGCGATTCCACAAAGTTTCATTGATCACCTGATCGAATCTATGCCTCGAAGATGCAAGGTTGTGATCGACAAAATAGGATTCGCCACGAAATATTGATAGCGAAATACAGCTTGGTCAACATTTTGTGGAGTTACACTTGTTTTGTCCAGAAGGAAATCAACTTTTTTTAATACTTTTGATTAATTTATTAATTTTCGTGTACAAATAATGAACTTTGTGATGAATATATATATAAAGAAACTAAATTAGCATTATTTGGTTGCACTTGTTTTGTCCGATACTGTATATATATATATATATATATATATATATATATATATATATATATATATATATATATATATATATATATATATATATATATATATATATATATATATATATATATATATATATATATATATATATATATATATATATCATAAAAGCTTCAATACCAACATTATACTAATTTTAGAATATTGTTTTCCGGCCTGGTAACAGCACTGTACTGAATTAATAAATTCAGTCAAAAAGATTTTATTTTACAAACTTCTGAACAATTTAGTTATGCAATATAAACCTAAGTTACGCAAATTATGTTAACATGATGTTTGTTTCAACACGATTCTTTTTTAGAATTGTTAATATTTGAAATAACTCGCCGATTGATGTCGTAAACGTTAATAAGATTAATTAAGAGCTTTAAAATAAAAATTTCATGTAAATAAAACTTCCAAAATTTTGAAAAAAAAATTTCTGCTAACTGCATCTCGTGTAATAGTTTTTGTTTTTGTCATAGTTGTACTTTATTTCTTTTTTTTTTTTTTGTATCTTTTCTAGTATATTTGTTATATTATTGAGTGGCATACAAATAATTTTGACGTTACTCGTTACAAATAATTTTGACGTTACTTTCACCTCCCTTCCCCTTACCTCGTTTTTATGATTGGTTATAATAAAATATTTTAAACTAATTCAAAATCACATAAAAACATAGGTCTGAAAACTTGAGGAAAGAACTTTTTTTTCTTTTTTTTTTCATTTTGCATTTTGTTAAAAATTACAACAATAAAAAATCCTGGCCGGAGCAAAAAGAAGACAAATTTGTCTTATCACCGAGCCATTGGTGTTTTTAAGCGCCAATTTAATGTTAAAGTTTAAAAAATTACACTAAAAAATGCTATCTTTTGTAAATTAAAAAATATATATATATATAGAATTCGTTGAATAGAAGTCATTAAAACATTGTATTGAACTGGTGTTCATATAGGACGATTTTTTAAAACTATAGGGAAAAGCGGGGCAACATGGCGAATGGGGCAAGATGGGTTTTCATATAACAACTCAACAAAAAATCTTAAAATTGGGTGAAAACGAAACTGTATTTGCATCTTGTATTTTAAAACACTAATTGGCTTTTTGAAATATTATTAACGCAATTTTATACACATAAGTTTACTTTTAGCGCCTAAAAAAAAATTCCTTACTTTCGGTTTCACATAATGGATGGTGCCCTTCAAGTTTAACTTCTTTAGAAGTAACTTTTTGCAATTTGTGTTTATTTCTTGTTACTTTAGTTAGAGTTATTGGTAGTTTTAAAAATTTTATAAAATTGGAGGTAAAAATTGCATAATAAGTCATCTTGCCCCGGTCACGTGACCAGATGACAAATTTATGAACATTTTATTTTAATATTTATTTCAAATTGTTATATTTGCAAACTGAAAATTCATGCAGGCAATGAAAGAATTTAATAACATAAACATACTGAGAAAGTATTATGGCTTCACGACTTATAGTTTTGCAACTCAGGGCTTTCAAAACGTTCGCCATGTTGCCCCACTTTCCCCTACTTTCCTTTTATATTTTTTTATTTCATAGTTTATTTTGAGTCACTTTCGCATTTTTTAAAGTAATTTAAGTTTTATTTATGCATTTCTTAATTTCAAACAAAATTACAAAAAGGTTTGTTATAATTACAGTAACGTTACATAACAATGTTTTTGATGATTTATTTATTTATTTTTGTTTATTTTATTTAATGGAATTTTCATATTTAACTATACAATGTTCTCATATCCGAAGATATTGTTGGCTTAGCGTAGGAACAGCTGCAAATAATCATTAAGACTAATTCAAAGTACTACTCAAGCACTGAGTTGGCGGTGGCAGGATTTGAACTTGTATCTTTCAATTGTCTGGGTTCTAACTTTTTGTTTGACGCTCTAATCAACTGAGCTATCCAGCCATTAAATTTACTTTACTGCAGTAATATGTGTTTAAAAAACGGAAATTGTCTTGTGCGAAAAAAAGCGACTTAAACGACTAACGAAAAAAATTTGGAAGCGGTAGTTGCGAATTGCGCTACTACTTCTTTGTATGCAAGAAGTATTGTCTCATTAACTTTTTTTAGCACTGCTCTACTGTTAAAAATACATATTTTTCTAGCCTTGCAACTACTGCATTTTTATTAGATACTACTTCAAATTCTAGTGGTTTTGACAGTACTTTTATCTCTTGCTGATTATGTCACTCTGCTACTAGTTCTTCTTTTATTGGTTCTGTATCTACTGTTACTTTGGCTTGACAGTAGATGCATCTTGAGTTTCCTGTAATGTTTTATAAAGCTCTCTTTTTATATTTTTTATATAAAACTTGTTTTTCAAAACCAAACTTTACCGTTTTATATTTTCTTTAACTTACCGCATCACGTACGAAATTGAAAATATTATATTTGAAGGCCATATTTTACTTCATACCATTAAAAAAACATTTAGATAATAAATAATCGCAGAAATCTACGTGAAAATACGAGAAATTACGTGAAAAATAGGAATTGGTACCGGTTCGTTGAGTAACTAAACTTATATAAAGTTTTAAACACTGTTCAATTTATGTAATTTACGTTCAATTTACGTAATTTACGTAATTTGTTTTTATATTTTAATTTATGTAATACTGTTCAATTT